ATTTTAAAATATTTTTTAAATTTTTTTTTTTTTTTTTTTTGCCAAAGAATCTGCTTTGCCAAACGATGCAATCGGGTAAGTTGCCTTTCCCATTCCCCGGATACTTATGTACCGATGTTATTTTTAACAGAGGATATAAAGGCAGAAAACACTACAGGAAATTGGCTGACAGCAAAGAGTGGAAGAAAGAAAAGGTGTCCTTACACCAAGCACCAGACGCTGGAGCTGGAGAAGGAATTCTTGTTCAATATGTACTTGACCCGTGAGCGCCGCCTGGAGATTAGTAAGAGCATTAACCTGACAGACAGACAAGTCAAAATCTGGTTTCAAAACCGCAGGATGAAACTCAAGAAAATGAACAGAGAGAACCGAATCCGTGAACTGACTTCTAATTTTAATTTCACTTGAGGCTGCTCCAGCCCCTGTGCAGGCGAGGGAGAGGGGGGGAGAGCGAGGGGAAGAAGAAGGATTAAAAAAAAAAAAAAAAAAAAAAAAGCCTTGTGCAGTTTGGGGGGGGGTGTATTTTATTTTATTTTAATATTTTTTTTCCCCCTCCTGAGTATATAAATGCAATGCGTACGCAAAAATTAAAGGACCTCAAGTGATTTGGGTATTTCGTAGGGAGAAGACGCAGCGGTATGAGCATGAGGGTATATATTGCATCCGTGTTTCTATGTAAAATAAAGATGGAGATGGTTGCTAAAAACCACCTTATAAAATGTTTAAGTTATTTACGTGCAGCACAAACCAGAAGGACCTTCCTCTATGCATTTTATGTTTAGGATAATAGATGCGTCCAAAAGTTTGCTTTTCATATTCTAGTGTAGTCTGCCTATTGTATAATAAAAACGACTAAAAGATGGATTTCCTATAAGTGTCTGTAAATTAAAGTTGCAGTGGGAACATGCTCACATCCTGTAGTTATGCAGTTTCTTCCAATGAAGTGATACTATCTACCATATATTTAAGGCAAAAAAAAAAAATTAAAAAAATAAAGCAGTATTGGTATCTTATGATGAAAAAAGTCCATTTCTCGTGGCTGTGTTATTTAAATATATTCTGTATGTGTTATACTTTGCATGTATCTTCCTTTATGGAGCAAAATAAATTTCATAGAACCGTGTACAAGTGGGTTTTTTTAAAGTGTATTTTTTTTTTTTTTTAGAAACACTTTTTTTTTTTTTTCCTCCCCCCCTGTGTAGGTTTTGTGTTTTTTTTTTCCTCAGGACTCATCCTTTTAAGGCTTTCAGGAGAGTATCCTAGCGGGTTTAATATAAGTGAGAGACCATAACGTTGATTTAAATATTATCCAGGTGACCACAATAAGTCAAGGTCATAAAACAGTAATGTCAGGACAGTCTTGGTAAGCGCTGGAGGTGGATTTTATGATCTGCAAATATAATGTGCTGCAGCAGTAAAAGATGCATTTAAAGGTGACTGTGGAGGAGGGAAGGAAGGCAGAGCTGAAACAGCAATCTTTGGATGCACACTACTCATTGCTTTGGGTCTTTTTGAGGGAAGACACGCTCCTTATGTGGGCTAAGGAGGAATCACTATTAAAGGGAATACACTTAAATAAAGCAGACCATGGGATGTCAAGTGGAAGGAGTAGCAAGGTAAGAGAGACCATTTCTTGGCTGGCTGCATGTCTGGAGCACAAGTGGATGTATTTTCCTTCTGCACCAAGGTAAACGGCGGAGCCGAGCCGAACTCCACTTCGAAGCCGCAGTCTTACGGACGGGGCTTGGCTTCGGGTTTCTTGGAGGATTTTTTTTCTCCCCGGGAGAGGTTTCTATGGATCTGACAGCTCATTTTCGGCGAGAAAATGCATGGTTGAGGAAGGATTACGCATATATTTCCATTTTTCCCTAACCCCCCCCCACCTCCTCCCTCGCAACTTACTTGTCCGAAGTTGGCTCAGGGAAGGAGAGGCTTGTCTATAGGTGGGAATTCGCGGATTATTCGCCTTTTTTGGGGGCTAGGAGCGTGGCTGAAGGACCTGGCAAGCATATGTTGCCTCGGTGCGTGGAGAGATGCCTATATATTTCAGAGCTGACTGCAGTGGCTTTCGGAGGAGGATGGCTAAGGACAGTGTAGGCATGAGATGGTTGGGGCTTTTTTTTTTTGTTGTTGTTGTTTTGGTGGTGGTTTGGTTTTTGGTGTGGTTTTTTTTTTTTTGGTGGCAGTTTGGTTGTCTGCGGAGTGCTCTTAGGGAAGGCTTTTTCGCTTGCAGCGGGAGTTATCTACGCAATTTAAAAGGGATAATGTCAGGATGCAGCCACATTGGCAATGAAAGATAGCGCAGCCTGCAATAAGTCACGATTTTAGAGCTATCCTGTTCAACGCCTCGATCGCAGGCAGGGCGAGGAGCAGCCCATGTAGCCTCGATTAAAAGGGATTTAATGGAGAGATTAAAGATGCCGCTTCGGGGGTTTTGGGGGTCTGGTTTCCCCCCTTTTTTTTTTCTCCCCCCCACACACCCC